ACACGTGTAAGCATGAGCGATTGCAACCTGGAGGCAACCACTCAACAGGATGAGGCAAAGCCTGAGCTGCCGCTTCCAGCTAACCCGCTGCAACAGCCCACGGCACATGATGTGGCTCTGCAAAAACATAGCGAGCTGAAGGCACAGCAATCAGATCTCAAGAAGCAGCTAAACACTCTGAAACTACATCTCGCTGCGCTCGGGATTGAAAATGATCATTTAGAGGAGCACATGCAAAAGCTGGAACAGCAGACAGCAGAAAAGGAGTGCTTTAACCAGAACATCAAGTCACAGATCTTGAGCGCTGCAAAGCGGGCGGTTGACAACCAAACGCGCATCACATTTCCTCAACAGTTTCTAGTCCAAATCTTTGCGCCCTTTGCAGAAGATCAGAATTTTATGGAGCACTGTGCGCAAATAGATAGCGAGATAGCCAAATTAATGCACAAGCTGCGCCTCCAGGCATACCAGGCACAAGAAACTAAATTTAGGAGTATTATTAGCAAAAAGAAAACCAACTTGCAAGCACAGCTTGTGCAAAAATATGAAGCAAAGCTGGCCAAACAGGAGAGAGCCCATCAAGTAAAGGTTTCACAACTGAAACACAAATGTTTCGAGTTGCTGCAGCAGTGCCTAATCGAGAACTCTAAAGATACCGATTATATAAAGTCGTATTTGAGTGAAATGAAAAGCCTTTATGAGCAGAAGTCACAGAACCCCTAGCTTAATCCCTATACCATTTGCATATGTCTTTATATTTTTTATTAATCGGCACATTTATTTAACCCCACAGAAAGCCTCAATGGAGACTTTAATCAAAGCGCAGGACACACCAATTATGCACACAAAATGTTAAACGTCGAGAATTTTGATGCCCACAACGGCAATGCCATGGGCAATGGGAACGAGCCAGCCAATTATAATACCTATGCCCCGTTTTCAGCTGCTCCTATCTCGCAAACGTCTAATGCTGCGGCCATAAATGCCAGCATGCTGTTATTACAATCCGAGAGCACAGACACGAATACATCGCAGGAGGAGGTCGATCCAAAGTCTCAGCTGGCCAATAAGACAATATTTAAGACCGATAATCCCAATTTGTCAATTATAGAAATTAATGAGAACTCCATTAAGGAGGAGGATTTAGAGAAAGAGGTGGTGCTAATCGAGCGCCTCTCGACCGATCATAACGACGAGACCGTCGAAAAGTTTAAGAACATACTTAAAAAGTCGCCCAGCAAAGTGCCGGACATTGCTACAGAAAAGCGACGCCGCAAAGCCGACACCCTGCTGCAGTCAAGCAAACAAAAATTGGACATATCTATAGCTGAAGCATCAGCAGCAGCGGATGGAGGCGGCGACACGCAACTGCAGTTAGCGGAGCCAGCGGCTACGTCGAACAGTGATCAGCCGCAAACCAAGCGAGAAATCGTCATCTACGATACTTTGGAGGAATTCGACCAAAATTTACCCTCGACGGTTACCCTGTTGAATACACCATTTGGCAGCAAGGTCTATCTTGTGGGCACGGCACACTTTAGCGAGGAGTCCCAGGATGACGTCTCTTATGTGAGTCCAGATAGTAAACCAATTAAAAACCTGCTAAATATCTTTCTTCCTCTCTTCTCACAGGTCATTCGCAATGTCCGTCCAGATGTGGTCATGGTTGAGCTATGTCCATCCCGTGTACACATACTCAAGCTCGATGAAAAGACTCTGTTGGAGGAGGCCAAAAACATAAATATACCCAAGGTATTTTCCATGCAGCACTTTAATATAATGGGTTTTTAATTATGTAATAATCCTACAGATACGCGGCATACTGCAGACCCATGGCTATATCAATGGCATCTTCTTTATTCTGCTGCTGCAGATGAGCGCACAAATTGCCAAGGATCTGGGCATGGCCCCAGGCGGTGAGTTTCGACGCGCATTCGAGGAGATACACAAGCTGCCTGGCTGCATTTTACATCTGGGCGATCGACCCATACGTATCACACTGTATCGTGCTCTGCGCGCCCTTTCCTTGTGGCAAACCATGAAGCTGGTTTGGCGTCTGACCTTCACGGATAGTATCAGCATTGAGGAGGTGGAGGAGTGCAAACAGCGTGATCTGCTGGAGAAACTTATGCAGGAAATGGCTGGCGAATTTCCAGCCTTTTCGGATGTGTTCGTACGCGAACGTGATCTCTATTTGTGTCACTCACTGCAATTGGCTGCACTGCCGCAGGCGGCCCCAGGTGCCCATCAGGTGCGTCCCGTGCGTGTCGTAGGCGTTGTTGGCATTGGACATGCAAATGGCATTGCAAAAATGTGGGGCCAAGTGGATCCCGAGAAGATACCGGCCATACTTGAAATACCACCGGCCAGCCTCAGTCAGCGACTATGCAAGAATACCCTCAAGTATGGCCTCATCGGATTGGGCTGCTATGGCGCCTTTCGTTTTGTAAGGCCGCGTCTGACGCGTTTCTTTTAAGTTGATTGTGGACCATGTTTCTCGATTTTGTTGACTTTGTTTCTCGATTTTAAGTGACACGCCCGCATCAATTATGAATGGGCGTTGACGATATGATAAGTATTGTGAGTACTTGAAGCTTTTGATAGAACGTGTTTACAACACATAAATATATACATATAAATATATATATATATATATATATATATGTGTGCAAAACAAAAAAAAAAAAAGACATTCAAACATATTCCTGGTTTTAAAAACCCAACAAACAAAATACAAAACTATTGAAAAGAGAATAAATACGCACATGTACATACCACTATATAATGTAGTTGGCTTGGATAGACACTGCGACTGTGAATACGATTATATCAATTCAGATTCAATTGTTTTACAAACTGATTTAATTTTAAATTGTTAAAACATCACACACTCAGAATTAGTCATGAGTCTTATTTTCTTTTTAATGTCCGGTTAATTAGACGTCGTAATTGAATATGTACATGGTTTCCTGGCAGGCTTAAAAAAAAAACCAACTAAAAAGAAAAAAACAATTCATATGTTAATTGTATGAAAACAATTATTTTTAAACAAAGCTCTAAATGTGAACGTGCCCGTGCCCGTCTGCCCGAAGCAGTAACAATACTTTATCTTCGACTTAATCTATGTATGTAAATGTTGTTCATTCCGTAGTAAAAACTCTGAAAATTTAGATGGTAACGCTTAATATTAAGTGTAAACGTGATGGACCTTCGATATTGGAAGTATAACCGTGTGTTAAATGTTGCATATTATATTGAAGACTTTTACAATAAAAAAAAAATAAAATAAATTAAAAGAAAACCTACCTAGAAATACTTTATTAACAATATCCCACACATTTCAACTGTATCGTAAAAATGGTATTACAAATACAAGCCAAATTGTTTTTTACGCTGCGTAGATTGTGCTCATTTAGAACTGGTGTTAAGTAGCATTATAAATAGTATACCACCCGAAAAAACTTTAAACCTTTGTGTATAATTGACTTAAATAAAAGTTTACATACCCCCAAGAAGTGTTTTTCATTTGGCGGCATCTTTGAATTTCCAAGCACTTTAACTCTTCTGTACCAGATGGCGAGTTTTACTTCTTTGAGAATGACCAAATATTTCGACAGAAGAATTAATATTTGCTTTCGTTTGTGTGGTGGGTATGCTTAGCTCTCCAAGATGAGGGCAAATCGAACAATTTGAAAATCTCCGTAAAGCACATGAATTTCATAATTCAAACGTATATCTATGTAATGTTCGCAATAATTTCTTCAAATTCTTCTATATGAGTACATTGTAATATCATATATGATTATGTTGCCATAAAAATTTTCGTAGGTTTATAGAAAGCATCAAAATAATATTTAACTGTGCGTTTTGCTTTTAATACCTGTTAGAATACGTTTTTTTAAATCTTATGAATTTAGATAAGTTTTTATTTCTTGATGAAAAATACAAAAGGTACTGGTGGACCTTTCGAATTCATAAGAAAATTAGGCAACAAAGCTGACATCTAAATCTGATGTACAGGAACTCAATAAACGAATTATAGCTGGTCCAGACCTGGTGTGGCTTCATAGTTCAAACCATTGAGCAGAACTGCAAGCCGATCCGCTTTGAACATGGAAAGTCGGTCGTCAGTCGATTAAACAAGAGTGGAACCCAAACCTAATCATATTTATTGGGCACGGGAATGAGGAGCTAGCTCGAACCGCGAAGCGGACTAGTAACCTTTTAAGTTACTAGTTAGTTAGTGCGCGATCCTGCCATTGAAAGATGCATACATACGTACACATATGACACATATATACTTATACACTGCGTTTGTTTTTTTTTTATTATGTACTTTAAACGTATCTTAAGCACTAAACGTCTCTCTTGTGTGTTGCTTTTGTATGCCATGAATCTTGGGTTTTTGTTTTACTCACTTTTCTATTTGTTTGTTTTTTTTTTTTTTTGTTTAAGTTAAAATTTTCCAACATTTTGTGTGTGTGTGTTTTTTTTTTTGTTTTGTTTTTGTTTTTGCGCTTATATGTAGGTAACATATTTTTCTCTTACAATTTGCTGCAATACAAATAAAAGTCTTAAATTGTAACTGTAAAATTCTAAATAGTTACAAATTATATACTAAATACATACGTAGTTAATTTTGAGGCGTGTTGTGTGTGTGTGTGTGTAGGTGTGTGTGTATATATGTAGATGTGTGTGAGTGTGGGGGGGAAGGGATTCTCCTTAGGTTCTTTTTCTTTTGTTTTCTTCTTTCTTTCTTTCTCTTTTTTGTTTGTTTTTTTTTTTTTTTTTTTTGGGTTGGTAATGCAAATATTTATCGTATTTTAAATTAAAACTTAGAAACTTGGAAAAAATTCAAATCAAAGGCTGGGCGCAGTTGCACACGCATACAGGAGCAGCCGCAGGATGTGGCAATTGGCGATTGTTAATTGTAAATTGGCATTATAACAATTTATAAACATATGTTGTATCCAATTATAGTAGTTGCGTGCCACTCGCCCCGCCCTGCTGTGCCCACTCCCTGTGTGAGTTCCATCCTGTAACACGGCCCGTTGTCACACCAGTTTTTCTAGCTGTTGCTGTTGTTGTTTTTTTTTTTGTTTTTTTAATATTTTATTTATTTATATTATTATTTTTGTTTGCCTTCCTCCAGCAAGGATGCAGCAGCCTACGGTGTTTCCGTTGACTCGACCTTCACTTCAGATTTAATGCTCGATGACAGATGGTTATTAGGGTCGGGCGCACTCAGGTGCTAAAAGCAAGATGTAAAACGAATTAGATAATAAAATTCAGCATATTTACGTACACACTCATGTATGTATGTATGTATGTATGTTTGTATGTATATAGTAGCATATATAATGTATATGTATTTCTTTATTGAAAAAAAAAAAACAACAAAAAAAAAGGTGTTAGTAAAACCCTAGCCTAGGCAAACAACAACTAATGACCAATAACAATAACAACATCAACAACAACAACAACAACAACATGAAACAACAATAACATAAGCTAGACCACACACATACACACACGCACACACACATACACGCACGCACAGGCACACACATTGGATTACCACACACATTTCGCGCGCGCACACACAACACACACGCACACACACACACACACACACATACAACACTCACTGTTGCTGGTGGGCGAGGGGGGTACCTACCGATTGGCTACTCACAATTCCGAGCGGCAATCCACCAATTTGGGGCGACAAATGTGGCACTGTTGGCACAGCTGCTGCATTCGGTGGCGGTACCGGCGAGGGCAGGAGCGCAGCAGCCGCTGCCGCTGCGGCGGCCACAGCGACAGCAGTTGCTGCCACAGTGTTGCTGCCAGCGGCCGGTGGCGGTATCAAAGCAGCGCTGGTTGTGCCGCCGCCGCTGCTGCTGCTGCTGCCCAGATTTGTTGTACTGTGGGGACCATCGTGCGGTGTGGTGCTGTGTGCCCGATGATGCAGTGCGCCTGTATAATAGCCGCCATTTAATCCTGTTTTGTATTTCGATTTTGTTTGTATTTTTGGTATTTAGGTAAAGTTAATAATATGTTGCTGTTTATCTTGTTTGTTTTCTTTCGTTTTTTTTTTGTTTTTGGGAATGTGGGAGTTTAATGTAGGGTAGTTTCAATTATAGAGTGGTACTCGATTTGGTGGTGGCTGCGTGTGGTCTACTAAGAAGTGGCTAAAGAGTAGCGAATGGGAAGGAGAATAGACTTCTTATAAAAAGCAGTCAATCTGAAAGGACCTGATATGATGCGAATGAGTTCAGAACAGGCGCCTAAACAACTTAACTCCCTAATCAATTATGGACGCGATGTTTGCCTTGCCTTAAGATCTACAAATACAAATAGGCTATCAATTCCGTGGGCCGACAACGCTCATAAATTACTGACTTTCGATTTACGCAACAGAGAACACTTACTACAGTTTTTAAGACTATATACTATAAATAGTTTTTCGATTAAATATAAAGCTTGCTCTGCTCTGCACTCAATGATGCCATCATCCCATTGAATAGAAAATAATTAAACGTAAATTATTTAAAAAATGAATTAAAATCATATAATTATACTTTTTAAACAATTTTGCAATAATGCGCCACACAAAAGCAACAATAGTTGGTTCTTTAAAGTTTTTCTTTTATTTGTTATTTTTTCTTTGTTTTCTTCTTGCTGTTGTTTGTTTTTAAATTTTTTTGCGTTTTTGTTTTCTGGAAAGGTTTTTTTTTTAAATTAACTTGCTCTCTTTTTATCAATTGTATTTTTTGTTTGTTTCTTGTTTAATTTTATTTAGCTTTCACAGTTATTAAAAATATTTTTATACATTACAAAATAACAGTATTTTATTCTTTTTGTCTCTTTACTTTTACTTTTACGCTTATTATTATTAATTTCTTTCTTTTGCTCATTTTCATTTTGTAGCAGCTTGTTATATATACTCGTAGGATCGTGTGTGTTAAAAATGTGTGTGTGAGTGTGTGTTGAGGTGTGTGTCTAGGCTTCAGTTTGTGCGTATGTATATATATATATATTTATATATATATATATTTATATATAAATATTTATATATATATTAATATTTGTGTGTTTCTATGCGTATATGTTTTGTGCTTGAAATTTAACAAATTTTTATTGCTTTAGAACAAAACAAAATACATAATGAAAAAAAAAAAACAAAAAACTTGATGCGTTTCTTATGAAAGTGAATATTTGCTTGTTCTTTCTTTCTTTTTTATTTAAGGAATATTTTGTATGTTATGCTGATATTGGTCTTGAGCGAAAATTAATAATTTTGAAAAAGTTGGCGTCAATTGCATTAATTGTTTAATTATTAACTTAAGTTGCAAAAATTTTACAAAATGATACTTTGCGCCGTTTTTTTTTGTTTTGTTTTGATTGTTTTTTTTTTTTTTTGTAAATATTACATTTTACACGCTAACAATTCTTAGATATACCGACTACTCGGTTAATCATAATGTGCAGTTTTTTATATATCTTATTTTCTCCTCAATTATGTAAAACTAATTTTTTAATAGTATTTTCTTTCTTTTTTTTTTTTGTTATATGCTTTGTTTTAATATAATTTCTGTTATGTTTAAATGTACATAGACTATGAATTAATATTACTTTTTATGTTCTCTCTTTTTTTTTTTATTTATTTATAGATGTTGTTTATGTTAACGCGCCGAGTTGTAGTTTTTATAATTCTTGTCTGCATATGTTTGTGAAGGTATTTAAACAATTACTTCCGTTCTGGTGTCAGCATACTAAAGATATTTACGCAAGGCGAAAATAAACACGGATGATGAGATCATTTTGCATTTAATAGAGCAGTGTTTTGAGCAAAAAATAATCATGAAACGCATAACTTTTACAAATGTTCAATTTGTTTCGTATATATATATATATATATATATATATATATATATATCTATATATCTTAAATGAAAGTCAGTAATTTATGGCGCAAAATCAGTGGATTCTTATAAATAATACGCTTTCGCTTGATAACTACAAAACTTGGAGGCATTTGGAAGCTACAGATATATAATATTAAATTTTCTCTCGCTTGGTTAGTTAGTAAATATTACAACGTATAATACGATATATGTATATATAAAAATGTGTGCTTGAACAAAATCTCTTACAATGGTTTTCTAATAATTTATCTGTTGAGTTTTATTTTATTTTATTATATATATATATTTTTTATAGATCGTTAGTTAGTTTAAGTGTGTGAGGCAGGGACTCAAAACAATTAACAACAACAATCCATCAAATTGTTTACTTTCACCTTTTGCTGTAAATAATTATGAGTTATGTATACATATGTAAACATATATACAAACATACATACATACATACATATCTAAATACGCATAGATTGCTTTTGATCATTCTACAAAGAAATGACGGGCTTAGGCTTGCTAGAAACGCTGACAACTTTGGAAGTCTGGACCAAGTTTATTTTTGAGAGGACAAACAAAGACTTTTTCAATAAATATATAGCACTCCTAAATAAAACCATATTCAATAACCTGTGCTATAACAAAATAATTTAAGATACTTTGGACTTTGTAAAAAATAAAGGGACTAAAAAAAAAAACGAAATTAAAATAAATTCCCAAAATCTGGTCGTTGTTTTGCATGAGACCCAACTGTATCTGTCCCTAAGACCAATTCTTTTGTAAGGTATATTCTTTCAATGTATCTTTGAGTTGGTACGAAAAAGTCGTTACATTGCTAAGCAGTTTGCAGTTTGTTTTGCTTATAATGCACATATCTGGCTATATATCTGCATATGTATAATCATTCATAAATCTTTACCCAACATCGGTCGCGCTCTAAACCTTCTACTCATCAACATCCACTATTCATGTTCGTGTTGCGGCCCTAAGCCACTGCTAATATATAATATATATATATATATATATATAAACTGTTTTACTTATATATCAACTTTAGCGGGCGCTGTTGAAATCTTGGTTCAACGCGCCTCTCTCACTTTCTATATATGTATTTATATGTATGTGTGCTTTGAAATGAATCAGAAGAATAGAAGTATGTATATATGTAGACGCTCGCTGCATATATGTGCGCGTGTGTGTGTGTGTGTGTTAATGTGTGTGGTTGTGCGTGTTTGTGATTGTTTAAACGATTTCTGATTTCTGTTACTGTTTCTGGTTTTTTGTTTTTAATGTTTTTCTCTTTTTTCTTTTTGTTATGTTGTTTGTAACGCTCTCTCCCTGGCATCTGTTTAAGCCTCCTACTACTTTTCTTGATTTGATATCATTTGTAGTTTACCTTCGGGATAAACAGCCGCCGCAACGCCTCCGGCCGCAGTGGTTGGCGGCGTGCGCATGAAGTACTCCTTGTTAACGCAATTCCTCAGCACTTCTGGAATATTGCCGACAATCGCTCGTCGTATTTCGGTGGCTGCCATTTCGCGCAGCTCCGTTGCGGATGCATCGCTGAAGAAGGCGGCGTGTGGTGTACAAATCAGATTTGGAGCATCTTTCAGTGCGCCCTGCAAGTCGAATTGGAAAATAATTTTGTTTAGTATTAAACATATCTAGCGTGTCGGGGTCGTCGTCTCAGATTGCGTAAAATGTTTCGTTTTACAACAATCTCTTACTTGAAATACATTGTATGGTTCGTTCTCGTGCACGTCCAATGCGGCTGCTCTTATCCGACCCTGTTTCAGTGCCAGCGCCAAAGTCTCATCATCGACCAGACCGCCGCGGGCGGTGTTCACCAGAAATGCACCAGGTCGCATCTAAAAGGAGGTTTATCAATTGACTGCTAAATATATAGAAATGGAATGCATCGATTAAATACCTGTTTAATTGTGAATTCATTGATTAAATGATGATTGTGCTCGTTGAGCGTGCAATGCAGTGAGACGCAGTCGGACTGGAATAGCAGATCCTGGAGCGTGTAGACGCGTGTGAGGCCGAGAGATTTGTCAATGCCATCGGGTAGGTAGGGATCGTAGAATATAACATTGAAGCCAAATGCTTTTGCTCTCAACGCTACAGCGCTGCCAATGCGACCTAAACCAACTAAGCCTAAAGTATCGCCACGTATGCGTGCGCAGCCCTATTAGAAAGATTTGGAAACATTACGGTCATATAAATATTAATATATATATATATATATATATATATGAAGATGGTTTCGTTTTGCCTTGCACTTACATGTGCCGCCTCTCGCACTTGTTCGGGACCCGTAAACTTTTTGCCCTCTCGCACCATATTCGCCAGCCAATAGGTGCGCCTATATAGGTTCAATATCAAGCACATTGTTGTGTCTGCCACTTCCTCGACACCGTAGCCGGGCACATTGCAGACTGCAATGCCTAATTCGCCAGCGGCTTTAACATCAATGTTATCTGTGCCGCTGCCAATGCGCACAATGATGCGTAAAGCTTTGAATTTCTCAAGATCCTCCTTGGTCAAGATGATGGTGTGCCACATTAAGGCGCCAACTGCTTCGTTTAGCACCTGGAAACAATACAATAATAATAATTGAACTGTTGTTGATTGTGTGTTAAAAGAGTACACTGCTCACCTTCTCGTGTATTTCGGATGTGCTCTGTGCATCGCAGAAGGCCACTGTAGCCACATCCTTTAGTATGGGCATCTCAATTGAACAATCGCGTCCATCCAGCAGCGCCACCAACGGTCGCGCCTGCAGCGGACCATTGGCAAAGCTGCCTTTAACATCTATGCGCGAACGCTTCGGCATCATAAGATTTTTATCCATATTAAATTTGTTGTTTTTATTGTGGATACTACTTTTTGTTTGTATGCTATTTATATATATGTATATATATATAAGAAATAAATCTCTTTGCTTAAAACTTTAATTCTTATTGTTGTTGTTGTTGTTGTGTGTTGTGTCTGTTTATTTTGTTTTTGTGCCGCAATTGCTTCTTCGTTGCGTGTTGCAGTTGCTTTAATTTCAATCAACGGAAACAAAACCTTTTCAAGACGACGATTCACACATTGCAATCATTTTTGGCGCTTCATATTGAAATCGAGAATCCTGCAATTACAAAATTAAAGAAAGAGAATTTATTACATATACCAGAAAAAATAAAACAAACACAGACATAGAGATACATTAATTCAATTTGCAAATTAAATGGAAAAACATGAAATCTGATGTCAAAGTACAAACAACAAATCGCTTACGAATCGCTAACAAATCGCGCTAGTGTCAGCACAATATTCACCGATGACAAGTTTCGCTTGGATTTCGCAATCGTCAGCGATAAAGATACTATTTGATTGCAACCTACGCTCCTCTGCCTCAACAAAAACCCCCCTTCTCTTACCAATGCCAATCACAGTCCACTGACTGCCGCCAGCTGCTCGATGGGAGGGGACTGCAAGAACATAGAAATTTAACGCTAAGGCCTGGATCAGCAGTATGTCTCATGTTATTGTTCGTGTATGAAAGAATGTTGTTGTTGGACGAGCAGCTGCTGCTATCGTCACATTAACATCATGATATAGTGTGTATGGCATTGCCCCCTTGTTCCATGGGTTCCTTGAGGTTCCCAGTGTACGCTTATCAACATCGTTTGCTTTGATTAGACGGACAACAGGGCACAGTAACAACAAGCAGCCGCAACAGCAATTCAGGTATTGCTCTATTGTATTTGATTTTTGGATTAGTTGACGTGTTCTTTTTTCCGTATCTTATCAAACGCAATAGAACAGGATAGAAAAATGGCACAGTCCGGAGCGTGATAAGCCAAACGACAATGTGATCGAATTTTTTTTTTTTTTTTTTTGGTTGAACCAGGTGTCTTATATTTTTAATTGGCAAGGTCGCTTCAATTGCATGCGATTTTAAAGTACGAAATACAAATGAAGGAATTGTTCTAGGGGTACAAATCAGAATTTTCGAGCGACTTTTGTACCAAATAAATCAATATTTTTCATCTTTCATAATTCTTTTGAAATTCTAAAGAACTTTAATTTCATAATCAACGGCAATAAATGCTAAAAATTAGTGCAATTAAGAGTTTGCTGATACATGATTATGAGACAAATAAAACACGACTATTCACATCTGTGAGCGGTAAACACATTTAAAAATAATTGATAAGCCATCAAGTGTAGATACTTTTGTATGTCGCAACACATAAAATGCACAGACCAGACTCATGGCGAATTGACTAGACTCAACACAACTGAACCGAACTGAATACAGTTGTCTCTCGTGAATGGGAATCAACACGATCCATAGCTTTTACGAATATTAATTATTAATCAATATACAAACAAGAGTTTATCCTGACTGCCTACAAATTTTTTCCATAACAGGATTGCAGACCGATGCACGCATTGTTTAGGTATCTGCGCGTCGAACTAACAAGCGAGAGGTCGCCTGTTCAAATAAGCAAAAGTTTTCAATTCAAGCCACGAGGTTTCGGGTTCGAGGCCCTGATAAGCGAAAGACTACCGGGCCCTCGCCCGGCTGATTTCTTCTTCATTAGCTTTGCATGGAACACAGAGCTAGTAGAAATTCGATTTTTAGCAAGTATTCCACTTGGCGATAGACCACTGTGCAACCACATACCAACACAATAATAACCATAATCATATTAATAGCAATGTCAAGCAGAAAAAGAGAAAATAGAATTGCACAGATGCTCAGATAATAACAAATGTGGCTAACACAAAAAATAAAATACGCGACGCAATTTTGACATATATATAAAAATATATATATATAGTATATGATATACATGTGTGGTATATGCCATACACACACACACACACATACCTCCTCCCGACTATTCCCTATCGAACATTCACCCAAGCAGAGCTGTGGCTATGCTTTGTTTATTTTTAAAACAATTTTCGAGACATTTGTGATTATTTCTTAAGATTGCGCGTGGTTATTTTTTTTTTTTTGCGAGTGATTAAGTTGAATTATATATTATTCGAACGAAATTTGTGTGGCAACACAGTTTAACAGTGAAAGGAAGCCGCAGACCGAGCAACAACATATTTGAAAGCGCGCCAAAAACCAGTTTTGCAAGTGAACCAAAAAAACTAGTGGCAGCAACTTCTGTGCGACTGCCACAGGATGCAGCAACGTGTTCATGCGCCCACGCAGTTGAGAAAGTCGAAAAGAAAAAAACCTGTTGATGTGTGTGTGTGTGTGTATACACACGCACACAGCCGCTTAGATATATCAAAATGAATACACACAAACAGTAAATCACACACAATTATACATAAATCACAAACTCAAGCGCCGCAGATGAGTGTACAGTAAATGTTGGCCGCGTATCTAACAGATACATTTCACTGCTGAACTATTGTTGTTGCTGTTTTTTGTTGTTGTTGTTGCTACCTGAGCTGAGCAGCCGCAACAGCCGCCGGCTGTCTAACAGCAGCAAGCAAAAAGTTGAACTAAGAACACACAAACTGCGATGGCGATTTGTGTATTGTATCTCTTTATTTCATTTTTTAGCCAAACCAAGCCAAGACAGTAAACCGGTTTATCAACCGAACGACACACGATAACAGCCCCAACAGCAAGCAGCAAAAGTACACTTTCAATGTGTGTGTGTTTTGATTCCCTGTACCCCTTGATAATAGGTGTATTATTGTGGTGCAAATGTATTTAACAGGCGCACAGACATTGCTTAACTAAATATATTGTTAATTAACATATTTGCTCTAAAAATATCTGAGTATTCATTTATCTGTCTCATCGACGATGAGCCGAAAACACGTAAATTGAAATGTATTTTCTTGTTATCATAAACAGATCGAGAACAATTACTTTAATAAAGACAGGAACGACATGTTTAAGGCTTACGCCTTGATATTCGGTTTACACACATTTTTAAACTGCCAAGACATTGCGTGCGTACAGGGTATTTTTTAGTCAGGCAGCCTAGAATAGAGCACGTTTGTTTTTGTCTTTCTTTTTGCCACAATTTTTCAGGCAGGAAAAACTCATGTTGGCTTAAATTGTTTGTTGGCTTAATGCCATAATAACGAAAACGAAGCATTGGCTCGAGCCGACAAGTCAATGCGAGTCGACTGTTTGTGTGTGTGTGTGAGGAACACGTTTCGATATACATATTTACAAGTCATGCGCATTTGTACACTCTACAGACACATCCATACACACACAATTACCTATAATTCAATTCGTGTTAGTGTGAGTCTTGGGGCAGGCAAAAACTTTTTAAAGCGCTGATGCTGATGACGCCATTGCAACAGTCAACAGTCATACGTAGAACAAGCACTGGGAGAGACGGAGCGAGAGAGAGAGAGAGAGAGCGGGAAAGAGACAGAGACAGAAAAAGAGAATGAGTGCGAGTGTGTGAGAGATAGGAAAGCACGAGTTGTGTGTGCTTTCCGACCAAGTCGGGGTCAGGTCTGGGGGGATAAGGACCTGCAAAACAGACAAACAAATTACAACATGATGCACTTTACCACCATTACAGTCTGCCAGTGTTGGCTTTAAATCAATAAAGTAAAATTTAAATATTCTTGTTCAACATTTTTACCCCAGTCAGTTTTTCATGTTAATATATTATTTCAGTGAAGTTGTACTGTACCCGTTGAATTGATTGCATTTGGCAGTGCGAATGCAAGAGTTTAATTTATTTTTTTTTGCTCTCGCTTGCTTTTAACTTGTTTTTGCTGCGAATTAACGGTTTCGTTCCGTGACGTCGCATTTGGCGCGCTTTTTACTTCGGCTTGCTAATGAATTAGCATAGAAGCCGGCAGAGTTGTTGTCGATCTGTTTTAAGCAAAGCTTTCTGTTGTGCTTTTTTGCCTTGTGCATAAATGCAAGCTTCTTTTGTTTTTACTGACTGTGCATGTGTGTGGCTGTGTGTAATAAACAGTTCTTTGTGTTTAGATTGAATGACGTAAATAAAAAAAAGCAAAGAGTTAAAAAAAAAAATGCAAGCATTGCAAGTCACTCTGGTCAAAACAATTTATTTACGCTCGCACGCTTTTAGCTGTTGGCCAGCTGCTGCTGCTAAAAACCATTTGGCACAACAATCAAATTGTGTATTGCGTTGATTTATATGTTTTTATTTAGACTAAAAGCGCGTCAGTGAATTTGGCCACAGATCGATCGATGATACAAAGCAGCCAGCGAGGCAGCAAAGGCAAGACCCCTTCTACCCCTCCCACCACACACACACATTGCAACAGCAAAAATGTTTGAACATTTTTTTTGTAAATGTTTCGCGCATACATACAGATGTACAGTTAAAGCTTTGCTAATGGACAGCACCCGCTACCAGTGTTGCCAATTCAGCTATTTTTTGGCTAAATTCGGGCTGTTTTTAGAGGTCGTCAATCTAATCATACCATTTTTAACACTGTATATTGTATTCCCTGTTTCACTGTTATTTCATTGGTCTATCTTTAAGGCATTTATTTCATTGAACTGCGTGTGTCCGCTTAAGATAGCTTTCACTGTATTTATATTTAAATTTGTTTCATAGGAATTACAGTTTAAGCGTTTGCGGTCTATTTTAGTGCTCTTTGTTTTGCAATTTTCAATGTGTGAAATTCCTGTCGCAGGTGTGTGGTCTGCTTTCATTTGGTTTTTTTTAGGCATTGGCAGCCAGCAACAAACAAACGGTAATGAACGACAAACACAAAATGATAAGCGCACGATAGCTGTTGTAATGGGGCTGTGGATGGGTAGAAAGGAGAGCATGACTGCATGCACATTGATAGCAGATATCTACACACACACAACCGCACACAATAAACCTTTATTGTTCTTTACTTGAGTGGGCCAAAGGAAAATTTTCAAGTGGCATTTTTCAGGTTCAAAATTAATGGACAATATATTTGTATATATATGTTGAAGAAAGAAGAAACACCAAGATAATTCTCGAGTTTGTCTAGTCTGCCACTTGCCTAATAAAAAAAAGGAGAAAGACAAAATTCATAACAATGCAAAATGCAAAATGTACACAAACTGGATAGGGGCAGGCGGTGCAAAAAAAAAAAAGACATATGATTACACAGCGCAGACAGGCGAACAAATGTGTATCTGCTTGTATGTGTGCTCGGACGGGTACAGCAGGGGCGCCAGAACGAAACAACGATGGAAAACATGACAAGCGAAAAAATGTAATAAAACTAGAAACAAGCGCCAATTTTATTGGCCAACAAGGGTAGGATTGAGGGGGGAAGGGCAACATAGCAATGGGTTTCCAACTGTGTGTGTGAGTAAAATATTTATGGACATCGACAGCAGAAACATTTTATAAACTCTTTTTTACGTGCGCGCATTGTAGCTATTTATTTATTTATGTATGCATAAATTGCAAAACAAAAACAATGTGCATATACACATATCAACGGGACTGGCATCGATACCACCACATCCACTACCCATATGACTATCAGACGAGTGTTGAGTGGGGGGGGAGATACGAAGCTCGGACTGCGCAAAAGTTTTTCTTTTTTTTTTTCTTTCAATCAATATGCAGGCGGTGGCGGTGTTGCAGGCCACTGGGAACGAAGTCACAATGAAACGGGCAGGCGGTATTTATTTATAGAACAAAACGGGCTGACCAGACCATTTCAAAAGGGGAACAGAAACAGAAACTTTAATGCGCACCCGTTCTCAGAGAGCAAGAAGCTTTAACGGGTTTTTAAAGTGTTCAAAGCTTTCGTCTCGCTCACACGATTTGCACGAACTTTCAAGTACAGTGAAAATTTATACACTTTCACCCTTTAAAGGACTCGAAACTCTTTGGGCTTAACAAACAAACGCAGCTCGGCGCGACACGACGCGGCGCAGCAAATAGCAACAGAAATGCTGTTGAAATATGTCATTCGCTTACTGGAAGGGCTGGCGGAGACCTCTCGGCATGGCTGACTTTAGGTCCGCTAGCTCTCTCTCGCTTGCTCCGCTGGTTTGTTTGTTCACTCGAACAAAACTGTGGCGGCGGCAAAATAACAACGATGAGACATAGCAGCAGCATCGGCGTTAGGCAGCACGTTGCAGAAGTGTGGGGCGGGGGAGTGGTTGATTTGAAAGGTACAGGGGCGTTGCGCAGTGAACCTTGCGTGTATATTGTCATTCGGCATCGGGTAAAAATCAACACACACACGCAAACAAGTACACTCACACTGACACATGCAAAAATTGGTGTAAATATTGAGTGTGTTTGTGCGCGCGCGTTGTATGGCAAACATTATTGCACAATTTATTTATGTTTTGCGTACTGGCAACAATAAAATATTTATTGCTATCACTCGCTTTTTCGCATAAACACACACTCTTACACACTGGCTTAGTTAGCAGTGCTACTTAAAATATATGTATTTATGTACAGATATATATATACATATAAGTAAGCTCGTGTACATTGGCTTTAAAAATTCATACGAAATTCGGCACGTTTAAATTTTTTTCGTGTACACGTTTATCGCGCACACACTTATAGAGAGACTCATAAGCATACACACGCTGGCCGAAAACAAAAAGAAGAAGCATACATTTATCCATATTAAAGATTAAGTGACGATGTACAACCCGCACAAAATGCGTATAGATACAAAATATTTTTGTTATTAAATTTGCTGCAGCAACAGCGCACTAGTTTTTCATTTTTATATATTTTTTCGTTTCGTTTTTCTTCATTGTGGTGGCGGCGGCAGCGACGGTGGCGGCAGCGGCTCTCGCGTTTTTGCGATTTTGTAATTACACAAAATTCACGTGCTAAACACATTGCCAAACACAAAATTTTTGGACAAAGATTTGCCGGCTAGCTTTGTTAACAAATTCCATGCATTTTTCATAAAATCGGTGTACTTTTTATATATTTTTCAACAATTTTTTTTACCAGCAACGCGTCCAAATTCCACTTTCGACTCGCAGCTTTCAAAATGGCGGAATACGAATACGGCAATTTTTAGTTTTAGTACAGCAATGACGCGATGCTACTCACTGCCGCGATGCTACTCATTTGCCGCGTATTACTAATAATATATGTAAATGTATATGAGCACTGATATTGGATCTTATTTAACACACCTGACAATATATTGCGTACTCTGTTTTGTACGATTTATTTCGAATTGCACTGTTAATTACAAAATTTTTCTTTTCCATCCACTTGCACACAAAATATTCTCTTTTATGCTTCTTCTTAGCGCATAACAACCATTCTCATGTTTACGCTCTCGTGCACACTCAGATGCGAACGCAATGCCAAATGACCACATAAAAATTGCTCTGATACATTAATTAATCCAAAATATTAACATATTCCTTTTACACTCACACTAATTGGTCACGAAAATGTTTTCGGCGCTATTTAAACTTTAAATATTCAAGCAAGACCGACTAACAAACGCGCAACGCTGAATGCGACTCGCGTTGGGCTTGGACGATACTGGCGCGGGTATCGATAACGATAAGTACATAAGTACTTGCTTTCGATGCCAAAGAATGCACATTGCAATTGTATTTGTGCTCCGTGACTTTTGCATTAAACGAAGAGGCACAAAGACAAGTGCGGGCGTGGAAAATTAATTAATTTGGCCTATCTTAAATTATTTTCGAAGCCCTATTTTACGCACAGCAACAAAATCACCATGTCCGTCAGGAGAGCAACGCACGCAGGAAGCTGGTACACAGATTCCGGTAACAAAACAAATTATTTTATATCGATGTCTTTGACCCTTTTGTTCTTCAAGCAATATAATAGAAAAAAAAAATGGATGAGTTGCAAAGGTTATAGGCTGGCGTAAATGGATTTACAAAATGCCACAAAAATCAAAAAGATTCTTGTATTATTTTCCACGCCCACTTGTGCAAGGCTTAACACATTAAATGCAGTAAATGGAAAGATTTTCTATTAAAAGGGTATTATTTTATATTTAATAGCAATTTTGGCATGCTTGTTGCTGGATTGAATATAGTATATTATTTAGCTGCCATACAAACTAAACGGTAAAATGTATGTTCTTCACATGATATATATTTATCCCAGTAATGACAAGCTTTACCGTTCTGTTTAGATATATCTTTACTATCTGACCAATGTTATTGTTAAAATGTGAAACCTGCCTAGAAATTAGATTCTGGCTTGTCGCCAACTGAATTGCGAATTTCCGCCATGCGATCGTACGCGATCTCAGTGGCCCAACACATACGCTTCTCCAGCTCGTTGGTGCGCTTACGCTGTTGCTTCAGGTTGTCCAGACCGTGCTCCAGTTGTGAGCAGGCCTGAAAGAATTTGCTCAGTTCGGGTATATCGCCAAATTCGCCGGGATGACGGCGAAAATCGTCTACAACATTTGCGGTTAACTTGTCCAAACGATTCTGGACGAACCTGGACTCGAACATTTTGTGTAGCTCGTTAGTTGTGGCTTTGCCGAGATCATTTGGCATATTATTTAAATTTAAGTTGCGTATGCGTGACTTGAGACCACTAAAATTGATTGCTTCAAATTTCTCACCAATGCCCTGAAACAATTCATAGCTTTTGCCCAATTCCAGCTGCATTTTTTGCATATCCTCATCTATGGACTTAGCACTCTGAGAATCCAGAAACTCCGCAGTTAAACTGTGGTCCAAGCTGGGCAGCATGTCTCGGAACGATGTAGCACTCGATGTACCAATCGATGTTGATGATGACAACTCTTCGCTAGACGGTTTCTGGCCAGCGCTCAGGCGTGCATTCGATGGCTTCATGGTAATCGATTTGCCACCAATTGACTGGCGATGTGTTTGGGGATTATGATATATTTGCAATTTACTCGAAGTCTTTTTCTTTTTGTTTTTGCTAGGCTCCAAAGAGGGCAGCGGTGTAGGTTTCATAATATCCTCGTATGAAATCCTGCGCTTCGGATCGTTGCTATTACTGGAATCAACATAAAGGTTGATCTATTTGTAATACATATATATCTTATATATGGTACTCACTTTTCCTCCAGAATGGCTGTCAGCTCATTTCGTATACGAAGTAATAACTCATCGCCTTGTTTACCTTTATCCATATTTGCGAGCAAACTTTAATTTGAATACAATATAATATGAATATAATTTAATATTATGATTTTCGTGTATATTGTTAGCGCAGTTTAATCAAAACTGAAATTTGAATTATGTATACAAGGAAACTTGTTTGTTTTGTTTCTAGGCAACCCCGGGCTTACTTAGTTCCGACATGCATAACCATTTAATATCCCCTGAGTTTTAATTGAATAAAACTAAAAAGATTAAATTACACTTATATACTTAAACTTAATCCTTATGTTGAATACAGATAAATCAATTGAATGATTTGTGAAGCTCGAACTAAAAACCGATCTCGAATTTCCCTAAATCTTGTTAAATGAAGCTAGCTTAAACTGTAAGGTACACATATTTAAATAAATTTAGGAATTTTCCATATATCCCTAGTTGAATAAAAACGTGGTAGAAGTTTCCAAAACCCCACAATACCTCATCCCTAGGCTAATTGAAAAATTACCCTTGCCTAACGATACTGCTGAGTCGTTAAAATAGTTTTAATGTGATATATAATGAGTCTACCTTTATTTATTATATTTTGCAGGCTCGGATCTCTCCAGGCAATTGGATCGCTGGCTGGGTGCTGCAGACTTGTCGCATGGACCGGCGCGTGCCATTATTGCACCGTAAGTCTGATTGACTAACCGAATCGGCATCTCAGTTTTTTGTATACATTAATTAATGTTTTAGACATGCCGGCTATGCTTATTGTGGTGCCTGCGGTGCATTTGCCTATCGCCAAGTGAGCCCCGTTGTTGTGTAAGTGGAATCTAAGCCAGACAGAATGCATATGCCACTGAGCTGATGCCTTTCTTGATTTCTGCAGTAAACGCATATTCATATTGGGTCCATCGCATCATGTACGACTACGCGGCTGTGCCCTATCGGTGGCGAAAAAGTGTAGGACACCATTATATGATCTCAAAATTGATACGCAAGGTGCGAGATCTGAAAGTAGTTTTATTTATATCAATATTATTTAATATATTATATTAACAACAACTGCAGTCAATGCCGAGCTGGAAAAGACGGGTCAGTTCTCCTGGATGGACATGAAATCTGATGAGGATGAGCACTCCATAGAAATGCATTTGCCTTACATAGCCAAAGTAATGGAGGAGTAAGTAGCAGCTGCTCATTTTAATATAAAATCAAATTTTCAACATATTTGATATATTTTCTTTCAAACACTTTCAGCTTTAAGGACCAGTTCACCATTGTGCCTATAATTGTCGGTTCACTGAATCCCGAGCAGGAGGCACAGTATGGCAGCCTGTTGGCCAACTATTTTATGGATCCAACGAATCTATTTGTGATATCTTCCGATTTTTGCCATTGGGGCCAACGTTTCAGTTACACATACTATGATCGCTCCTGCGGTCCTATACACAAATGCATCGAGCAGCTGGACAAGCAGGGTATGGACATCATCGAGAAGCTTAGCCCGACCGCGTTTACAGAGTATTTGCGCAAATATAATAATACGATATGCGGACGTCATCCTATTGGCGTTATGCTAGGCGCTATTAAAGCCCTGCAGGATCAGGGATTTAAAAATATGAGCTTTAAATTTCTCAAGTACGCACAGAGCAGCCAGTGCCTGGACATGGAGGATTCCAGCGTTAGCTACGCCTCCGGTTCTCTCATCTTTGAGAATTAAAAACACAATAAAAACAAAAAGTATTTTCTCTAGGCTTATTTAGTTGCGTTGGATTTTGTAGCTGAAATTCAAGTTTTATAATTCTAATTTTTAGCAGCAAATTGTATGAAGAATAAAGCCGAAAATCGAGTTCCATTTAATTTAATTTGCTTTTATTTGTATTTTTTGCTTTCTGAAACATCGCAATTGACATCTAAGCCATTTTTAATGATTTCATAGGGTATTTTTTTTTGTATTTTTGTTTTCGCCTTATCAATGAAATGTTTGCGTTATGTTGGCCAACACGGGCGCGCGGATGTATGTGAAGGATGTGTGTGTGTGTTTGTGTTTGTATTGTTGACATTGAAGCAACAGTTGTCATGGTCATTGCCACTTTACCACCAAGTAGCACCAACTCCACCGCCACCCGCTGTTGCATCTGCCACGGCCGCATCTCCCGCAGCGGCTGCTGCTCCATTTAGACGCGCACACTGTTCCGCATCGCTAGCCGCGGCGCTGGCTATTTGAAGGGCGCTCATGTTCTGCACAAATGCCTCGAGTGCCACATTCTCGTCGTGACTGTAAGGGGACGTGCGCTGGCTGTGCGGACTGCGACGCAAGAATTCATTCAGATCGCTGCCGACGCTGGCGGGCTTTGAGCCAGGCGCCGGCTCAAAGTCATAGCCAAAGGGATCCTGTGCCGCCGCCGCAGACGGTTGTGGTAAACGTGTCAGCATATTGCCCTGCACAAACAGGTGGCTGGAGTCTACAGAGCATAAGGTGCGCTTGAGTAATGTGTGTAACTGAGACAGCATTCAATATGGGACTTACCACTACCAAAATCGGCGGCCACATTGTCGCAGTAGCTGTTGCAGGCGCTAGTCTGCGCTGACTGCTGTTGCTCGTAGGCATTCGTGGAGCACGAGCGATTGCCAAACACGGTTGTTATCTCCACGTGGTGCGGCGATGGGGATGTGTTGTTGCGCGTAAAGTTGGACTCCGATATGTTGTGTATGGAGACCTGTGAGAAAAAGTATACAAATTAACGAAGGATTTATCGAAGTCGCATCGAAACGAATTAATCGCAATGTCTAAATTATGTTATATTCAATCAGAATTTTAAAAAAGGTGAAGGCAAACATTCTGTTTCAGAATCTTGTGACACATTTTTATGCCTCGGCTTATTTTTGATCAGTTGCATAAAAACTCCTATCAGAATTACAAACGATCGAAATCGGGAGAAATATGAGGTCGCTCGGCGACTCTGACTAATAGAAAGGAACACCTATAATATATACATTTCTCAAATTATTGGCATTGGCTGTTATTTCTATGCATTCCAATTAGAATTTAAAAACATCGAAAAACTGGTCAAACAAAAACCAGAATTTTCAACAGTTTTCTATATCATTTTAAAACTTCACTATTTGATATAATTGTACTGAATATTTAAAAATATTTTTTTCTTCTTAATTTTCACAATTTGATTGTTATAAAAAAGTGGATGAACTAAATAAAATATAACAATCACAATTCTTAAAATGCTCTCAAAAATTATATTACACCAAAATATTTTTGATGCATATAAATATGTGATGAAACTCGATAGACTCTGACTCTTATATAGCACAGCAAGAAACCCACTCAATTATATATATAAATGTACATATATCGCGTTTGATCTGAAGAACTTCATTTAAGACGAATAGAAAGAGAAATATGTTGGCGATAGTTTTTCAAATGGCACATGATCCTTGCGGAACATATTCGTTTGACTTGGCCAGAGCGGCTCGCAGGAACGCACCTCGTTGTTGAGATGCTGGCCCGGTATCAAATTCTTGAGGAACGCCGCATCGTCATAGCGTATGACGCCAGTGTTTGGTATGCCCTCAAGATAGGAATTGAAACCGGTGATCGTTGGCGGCGGCGAATCATCGCCACAATTATGATGCATGTGACAATCACCAGGAGCACCAGGCCCGGCGCCACCAGCTGCCACAGACGAGGGGAACACCTCAAAGCCATTGTAATAGCTCGATTGTTGGTATTTCTCCTGGAGCGTGGAGCCCGCTGGACCGGCGGCACCAAACTCCGATGCTGTTGGCTGGCCAAAGCTGGACCAGTGGCTCGACGCGGACGAGTTGTTGTCTTTGGTCTTCTGCTTCAGCTCGCTACCAATGGCAGACAAACATTTCTGTGCCTGCTTCGGTCGAGCAATGACAGCCGCATCACCCACCAGACGACCAGGACTGCCTAGGGAAACGTTTGTGCAGCTAATACTGATATTGTTGTGCGTGTCGACAATGCCACCACCGCCGCCACTGCTGCTGTTGCTGCTGCTGCCGCCACTGGCTGAGCCACTGGAAAAGTATGAGAAATTGGTGGGCGCGGCTGGAGCTGTTGATGGATTCGGAGTTGGAGCGTTGCCGCCGCCGCTGCCGCTGGGTGTGACAACTAATGGCGGCGACGATAGCTTCTGCTGTGTGGCACGCGCCGCCTCGGCCACCGCCTCCTGTGGCGTGTAGTAGTTGACATTGCTGCCGAACTGGCGATAACCACCCATGGCCAGGCCATTGGTGACAGCCTGATGCAACGCCGGATTGCGTATGGTGAACATGCCGTTCTCATTTTTAATAATCGCGGCCGGTTGATCCATGGGCATCGGTGCGGCAATTGGCAGAGCTGCGCCATAAGCCCGAACTGAAAATCAAAACAAAAACATTATATTTTTCAAGCATTAGCATAAGCATTGAGTTCCTCTGTACCTGGCGGAATGGGATTCAGATTGGGCAACATGGCACCCGGCACAGGCCCATTGTTGACGCCCTGATGGAACATGGGGTTACGAAGCGTTATGATGCTACCACCAGCACTCGCCTCCATAATGGGCGCTGGGCTGAGCGTGTGCTGCTGTGCCTGCTGGCTATCTAAGTTGCCAGAACGCTGCTGCTTGTTGCCAAGATTAGCGGCGCCACCGCCCACACCATTGCCGCCCGACTTGCCACGGTTGCGGCGACGTCGGCGCGAAGACTTACCGCTGGCAGTGGCAGCAGCAGCTGCAGCTGCCACATTGTTATTGCCATTGGGCGCCGCATTTAGCGGCTGGCAGTTAGGGCGATTCAGGCGCGGATTGGCCTCCACCATTATGACGCCACCGGCGGTATCCATGCCCGCCGCATTGCCCGCATAGTAGCCGCCCATGAGATGTGCCTGATGCTGATGTTGCTGCAGCGAGTGATGCTGCGGCTGCTGCTCAGACAAAGGTTTGGATAGCTTTCGTATGGACTCGCTTTTTTGGCGCAATTGTTCGCTTTTGGCTGGATCCACCTTAGTTAGCGTTATGCCAGGCGGCAGTGAAAGATGCTCCACCTGTACACCGCGGTTTAACTGATCCATAATGCTGCAATTGGCCTGCTGCTGTTGCTGCTGCTTGCTGGAAGAGCCGCTGCCAATGCGCAGATGCTGCATTTGTTGGACCAGCGTACTGGCATAGCTGCCGGCATGCGGTGGCAGCGGCGGTGGTATGGCAACTTCGTTGGGATTGAAATAGCCCATGTTATGGGGTATGCCCGAGAGATCCTCTGGAAAAGCAATCAGATTCGGATTGAGATTTGAATTAGTGCTGGCCATCTTCAGCGAGTTGTAATAGATTTTACCCTGTTTCTGACCACGATGTCCGCGCTTGCCGCGCTGCGAACGCTTCGAACTCTGTCCGCCGCCCTCCGCGGCGTTCGAGGAGCAGGTGCTATTGCTGTTCACATGCTGCTGTGACTGCTGGCTGCCATTTGCTGGCTTGGAGCGCCCACTGCCTCGTCCGCCACGGGATTGCGACACGCGATGCCCATTGACCGCTTGGCCGTTTCTGTCCGCTGTCTGCGTAAGTCCTTGTCCATGACTGGATTTGGACTTGCGCGTGCTGCCATTTAGATGCGACTCGGACGCACGCTGGCTTTGATTCTTAGCCTGCGCCGGCTGCGGCGGCTGCTGCTGCTGCTGTGACGTTTGCTTGCGCTGATTAGCAGCTGGCGCTGTCGTCGATTTGTTTGGCTGCTGCTGCTGAGGTGCCTGCGCACGAGGTGGCGGTGCCTCAGCTTTAGACCTCTTGATAGGCGCCGCCGGCTTTTGCTTGGAATTTGGCATAGCTGCCGCTGGCTTGGGCGCAATGGCTTGCTTGACTTGTGTTTTCACTGGCGGCGGCGGCGGTAACACCACTGGCGGCTCCACATACTGTTCCGCTTCGCTGCCCGTTTCCCACTCACCATCCGAAGAGTCCTGCACATGCAAGGATTTGAACGGATTGTTATCTAGCTGACCCTGATCCAGACGTGGTTTTAGGCGTTTGTGTCTTTTAACAGACTCCGGCGCCGGCGCCGTTTCGGGCTGTGCCTGCGCCTGCACTGGCATTTGTTTGAGCGGCGGCACTTCGACCACATTTTTGTTGGCATTCTTGGCCGCCGTTTTCTTGTTTACCGTTGCCTTGGGCTTGATGCTACATACAGAGTTCTCGCGCGTATTGACGGCGCTGCTTTGCGGCGTCTGCGACTTGGAGCTGCTGCTGCCGGAGCTAGAACTGGATGCGATTGCTGTTGGCGCTGCCTTTTTGTTTGGTTTTTTATTCTTTGATTTTGCCTCCAGTTCAGCATTAGCAGCAGTGGCGGCGGCTGCTGCTGCGGCTGCCCGTTTAGCCTCCTTTTTCTTGGCCTTAGCGCTCTTCTCTGGCATAGGCGCCGCAGCTGGTGCAACCGGCGCTGAGTTCCTTGTCATTGGCTGGACAGCAGAGGCCACCATGTGACCATTGACAAAGGTATAGAGCAGCTTGTCCTCATCCGGCGAGCTGCCCTTCGCCACAACGGTCACCTGCTGCTCGCCGCCGGCGTGCGGCAGCTGTACTCGACGTATGGTGACGATGCGCTTGGATGGATCAGCAGTTATGGCGTTGGCCGCCATGGCGGCGATCACATCACGCGGCAAGTGTTGCTGCTGCTGTTGTTGCGGATGAGGTGGGGCATAGCACACTGGTGTGTGCGATGAACCAATGTGGGGTGGAAAGTAGGCGGCTGAGCTGATAAAATTGGGGTAATGCGCCGCTGTGGCAGCAGCTGCCGCTGGTGGTGGTAATGGATCCATTGTTGTACTCATAAGACCACCCTTTAAAATCTCGTCTAGCTGAGCCAGCTTGGCTAATTGCTGCTCCTTGGTGGGCAGATAAGAGAACTTAAATTCGCTGTTCGCCTGCTTAACAGTAGCAATAAGCTCCAAGATAACCGTTTCCACTTTGGCCTTGGCACGCTGCAGATTCTTAATGTTGGTCTCCAGTTCGGCAATGCGTTTCTTTTCGCGTTTGCGGCCGCCAGCAGCCGTTAAGGTTTTCATTTCATATTTGTCAATGAATTCCTTGAAATAGATATCGAGGAACTGACCGCGCAAATCCTCCAGTTCCTTGATGCGTTTCTCCTCCTCCTTGCGCTGCTTTTGCTTAGCTTTTTTGGCTGCCTTCTTGGGATTTGTCGTTTGTGGCTGTTGCGGTTTGCCTTCAATGAAATTAAGCGTCTCATTGATCCAGCGCTTTTGGTCCTGTTCGCGTGTATAGCTGCCCAGAAATTCGGCAAAATCCTGCATCATTTCCTCTTTGCTGTAATTGCTTAGGTCGGCGGGCAAGCTACCAGCGCTGCTGCTGCCACTGCCGCTAGCCGTGGCATCCGTGTGCATCTGTATGCTCTTGCAGAGACTGTCCAAACAGAGCAGACTATTATCGCCATCCTCAATATTCTCGCCAATTTCGTTGAGTGCCGCCGCGGCGGCAGCAGCAGCTGCTGCCGCTGCTGCAGCGGGCATTTTACGTGTGGCCGCCTGCACCTGCGCCGAGGCAACTACCTTAAGTGTGGGCGGCTGCTGTGTGGTCACTGGATCCGCCCTTTTAGTTGCAGCTGGCTCGACGGCTTGCACCTTTGGCACCTGTGGTTTGGCCACCGCCGACGCTTCCTGGCCACTCTTGCTCTTCCGATCATTGACAATCTGTGTGAGTTTCTTACGCAAGCGATCGCGCGTCTCGTTAAAGCGCGCATGATTGCACTCCTTCTTGACACGCTTTTTCGAGTGGTTCTCCTTGCAGGGCTCCCCAATATCCGCGTAGTCAGCACAGCCTGCGCAAAACAAAATAATGAAAACTAAAGTTGTTTCTAGATATTATATTAGAGCAGCTCACATTTACGCATCTTTTCCTTGCATTTCTTGGAGTTGTTCGAGTCGTTGCCGGCGCCCGTCTGCGTCGTTTCGTTTATCTTCGACTTGTTTGCCAGATTTGTGGTGCTATCCGGCTTACCACGTTTGCTGCACAAGAAAGGCGAAATATTATTTTAAGAGCTTTTGTTTTGATTCATGTGCTACCTACATCATTTGCGAGTCATGCAGCTTCATCAGATGATCCACGCCAAATTGCATTTTCTCGATGTTGGCGTCGCCGAGTGTGAAGCTGGGCAAAGGAAAAACCACTTAACATTAATAAAAACTATCATGCGATATCAAGGTGTATTGCATTCAAGGCAATAGATTAATCACAAGTGTATAATTGCCTGAAACAGACTGACAATTGACTATATTTTGTAGATTGGCACTCAGAACAGAAGCTCCTTTGATTGCGACATTTGTTTTCAAATTAAAATTAAGAAAAGCCCTGCCGATAATTTGAGAGACTTTGTACTGTCTGAAGTTGGCGCGGACTCCACAAACAATTACGCATCAATTGCGTTTTCAACACAATCCATTTAATTCGGGCGAGGCCGGGTTGTCATCAAGTAATAAGTTATTATTTTTCTTAAAAACACTCTTGACCGGTTTTTTATACGGCTGATGTATAATATAAAAATACAGAAACTACATTTTTGACCAATGGTTCTAAAAACACACTATATATGAATAAAATCCTATTTAAGGATAGCTGGCTTTATCTTAGCTTCTGACTAAATCAACAAGTCCCTATCAAACTAATATGCAAAGAACTATTGCTGCATATCAGGAATTTTTAAGCCCTACATTGTTGGAATGCGTTAGAGATATCGCCACAAAATAAGTAAACCCTGTAAATAAAAATTTGGTGAAATCAAACTTACTCGTCCGTAATCTTGAAAGGCGAGTAGCTGAAATGGTAAATATTATTATTAATAGTTTGCCATATATAGGAGACCGATTCTAACAATTGTAACATACCCAATGACCTGCGCCAAAAACTGCTCGAAACGTCCATCGTCCTTGTCACCGACCACGCTGTTTGGACGCAAGCGCAAATCACCCTTGAGCAGCTCCAGATGCTTAAAGTCCGTAGCTGAGGAATTGAACTTGACAAAGAAATTGGCATAGATCGACAGCACAAAGGTCCAGTAGGTCTTGTAGACATAGTGCTGATTCTTGAGCTCCTGCAGTTCCGCGGGACTAGGTGCCAGCTTGCGATTGAAGAACATCAACGATGGCAGCGTGGTGCGCAGCTCCTCACGCGAAAATGACAACGGCTGGAAGCATCGCAATAGATGCTTGGTTAGTGGCGGCGAAAGTTCATTGGCAAGGATCTTGCGTGCCAGCTGGCAAGCAGAGACTCGGCAGTTTTCTCCGCAAAAGAACTGCGGCTCGATGGTATCATAGCGATAGCGTTTACGCGTGGCCAGATGCTGAAACACAGCCCATGCCACGTGATATGTGGTGCGCAATGCGGTATCCATTTCCTGGCGACGCAACGTTACACCACTCGGCTCATCCCCACTTCTACAGATAGCTGCAGCTGCTTCGGACGGTTGATCGCTGCTGCGGCGCTGTTGTGCGGCTGCTGCCGCAGCTGCGGCGCTTGTGCTAGCAGCCACATTATGTTTGGCCTCATCGCTCGTACAGGTGCTCAAAATTTTCGATTTCATCAGCTTGGCGTCTTTCTCAACAATGCCGAGTGTTGTGCACTTGGCACAATGGCCGGCTTGTCGAGGCATTAGAGGTGTACCAGCAATGGAGCAAGTAATGCATTTGCAGTTCCTTGAAACAAAATATATGGTTTGTTAATAGTTGAAAAAGCTGCAGTTATATCGATGAATCACTCACTCATTATGGTGTTCCAGCATTGCATTACACTTCTTGCATAGGTCCTCGTGCACCAGCTTGTTTGGCGGATCGTAGAAACCGTCGGGCCATTTAAGCTTGGTGAATGCCATTATATTCTTCCAAGCCAGCTGACGATCAACAATACGCTGAAAATCTATGAACTCATCATCACTGATATCCGGCAGTGAAAAGGAAGTGGCATCCATAACGACCTTATCGAATATGTTATACACATCGAGCAGGCCCATGCGACGATCGTGCTCCGTCGGCGACAAGTTGAACTTGTTTAGCTCCATCCAAATGTCCGTCCAGCGGCGCTCAATGGAGTGCATATGCTCATCGAACAGCATATAGCGTTTGATCAGCGCCGATGTCTGAGATGAGCCCTCGCCCTCCTTCAGCGATAATATGCATGCGAGCATGGTGTCGCCCAGCGGATTGAACACATGTTGCTGAAAGAGTCGCTGACACAAAAGCACCCAGGAGAGCTTGAACTTGCGCAGAAAATCGTTCTCAAATGCGAACAGGCTAAGTGAAATCTTCTGTGAGATGCAGTTCAAATCGGAGTAGCCGTCCAATAAATCTAAGTGGAAAAAAATTAAGTTGGTTATAAGAATTAATCAAAATCTAAATGTTTGAAAACAAGCAACAAATAATAGTTATTTACGGGTTGTTCAGATTAAATAGCAATGCATGATTGGGTAATCTGATCTTATCCATAAAACACTTTTGTTTATATAACTGAACTTTCAATCGTTCGCTCTTATTGAAGATATTTGATATTATAGTCTGATGTTTATGTTTTTGTCAAAATGTAAGGATCGTCATTTAATTTGTATTTTTATGAAATCTGTATAATGTAGTAGTTTGATCTGCGAAAATTAAAGCATATTAACTTCTCACTAGAATTTTTTGAATCTATGATAAAACGAAATTGAAATACATTTGAGGCTACCAGATAGACTAGAGAAAGACATGACTACATCGACTTAGGTGATTAAGATTTATCCCTATGGTGTTGGAGATGAATTATTCAAAGCGTTGAACATTTTGTGATAACAGGAGTATGAGAAAGAAAGTTGACCTTGGCATACATTGTATAACATAAATTAAAATTAGTATAGTATAGTTACTTATATTAAAGTAAATACAATATTTTGATCAGTCTTTTTCATTAAACTGTGTGCAACCTACATGTGAGCATCTTTTCGGCAGATATCTTCTCGTTCTCCTGCACATTTTGAGCAATTTCGATCATGCCCTCGGAAAAAGCCTTAACAATGCACTCAACATTATAGGCGAGTATTTGTAGCAGCAGCATCGGATTATTGGCCATCAGTCTGCAAGCAAATTAGGAATGTATATTTGATATGAAATATATATATATGGAACGTAGTACAAACAATTAGATCAACTTACATGGCGCTGAATAGCACTAATATCATATTATCAGAGATCGCAGTATCATCAATAAAATCAAGATATTCGGCATTTTTATCGTAGAGAAAGCCGCTTGTAATCCAATAGATTTGCTTATTGGACTCCAATAGCTTCTCAAATTTGTTATAGGCAGCATCATTTCTAAAATAGAAGTATGCAACATAAGAGTATGTTATTTATTTATTGAATGGATTGTTGCCAACTAACTTCAACATGGGGCTGTATGCCTTAATAAGCACATCGAGCAGCATGACAACCATGTGGGCAGCCTTAAATTGATCCATCATAATGGCCATAATTGTTTCGCGATATTCGAGACATTCCTTGCAGGAACAAAATGTAAAGAATTCCTCCTTACAATGTTTAACAAATATCAAGGCAAGATTCTGAAAATAAAGCTGCAATGGATTAGGCTTCAGCATGACAGTTTCAGGGCAATAGAAGCACACCGTAATTGCACGATGATGTCCGTCGGCACTGCGCAATGGATTGATCTTTGGATCCTCCGAGAATAAACGCATATTCTCAATAGCCATCTGCATGTGCGAAAAATCAATTAATTTGTGTACACAATCAAATAAAAATCTGCTGTACATACCAAATACGAGCGCCTTTCCTCGTTTGGATCATTGCTTTTGGGCTTGCATTCGTGGAGCAACTTATCGCTTAGCTCCATCTCAATGACATTGTCCTCGCGCAAGCTCCATTGCATTAGCGTAACGACTTCCTTGTATACTACATCCGATTTTGGCGCTGGCGCGTACGGATCGAACGGCGGCAGCGCCAGTATCGTGTGCAGCGTGTTTATAATGTTGCCCTCGGGAAAATTGAGACGCTCCAGCAGCTGACACGGTGGTGGGTGCTGGCTGGCTTTAGTACCTGCCTGCTTCGATTGGAGCGGCAATGGCTTGTTGGCGCTGAGCGCCTCTCGCATTGCCGCCAATGCATCACATTTCAGCGGCATGTTGTCGCCACAAATGCGCGGGGTGGCCGCATCAATGGACATTTTCATGCTCACATGATAGCAAGAGGCGGCGTCCAGTTCACCGTTGACAACAGCTTCGGCGGCAGCCACTACATTCGCATCGATGCTGCTGGTACGGATTTTGGCCTTGGCACCCTTCGGCTTAGAGTTACCGCTGCCGCTGCCGCTGCTACTGCCGCTGCAACTGGGACTGGCGTCGTCCTCGTTGCTGCAACAATTCATGCAAGTTGTTGCTGCATCTTCTGCGTCTGGCACCTGTAACGTGGTGGTAGCAGGCATTGTCTTGATGTACGTCAATGCCTTTTCCACTTGTTCAGCCATGTTTATTTAATTTTAGAAATTTGTATTTTTTATATATTTTATTTGTATTTATTTTTGGTCACACTTCTTAACATTGAGCCCCTACGTCAATTAGGCTAAAACGTAGCCATGGCTTTTCGCGTAACAAAAATTTGAGTATGTGCGACGCATTATTATACAAATCACAGATGCACTTCCGTGGTGGAGACACTTTCACTCGCCTCGTCTCGACCGACCGACCGACCAACCGACCAACCGACCGTCGTTTTCGTTGCTGTTGCTGGCGAGTCTGTGTTTGTGTGTATTTATGTGTGTGTTGTGTCGAAGAAGTCTCTCACATACAGCAAAATGAAAAGAACGCAACGCGTTTTTTCCCAAACGCGCGCGCCTTCAACGAGCTGTGCGCGTTTCTTGGCGTTCAACAATTTGATACGATTACCTTGAAGCGCTTTTAGCCTAATTCGACTGCTGTGCAGTTAAGTAAATAGATTTATTAAACAAGTGAAATGTTTGTGATTTTTCGTTTTTGTTTCGCTCGTCGTCCGTTCGGTGCAATTGCAATTTTCTGCCCTGACAGTGTGTGTGTGTGTGTGTGTGTGTGTGTATGTACGTGAGCGTGTTTGTATTGGCTCAGCGTTGCACTTCGGTCGATCAGACGAACAGTGGTCGACGATATACATACACAATTGGTGTGTTATCGATAGACCAATATTGGTATAAGCAGGTGGAGACATTTAATGCGAAATATACGTTAAAAACAAAAATTGCATTTAATTATACATACTAATATATCATTACATATAATTTAATAATAATACTAATATGCTATTTTAAATGCTATTTAGGTTCAAAAATTTAATATAATAAGTACATAATGTGTAGTGACCAGTTGTCTCAATCCCTATGTTGATAAAGATGTTTTTATCGAGGTCTCAAGCATCTATATTTATTTATTATTATGTTGTGTTATCTTACAGATTGAATGTATTTGGTCTTCTGCAAGATTTACGCGACATCATACAAATATTTGCAGCCTAAAGGTATGCAATACAAATTGTTCTGGGCCTGAGAGCGCTTATGTTAATCCCCCGTGGCTAGCATTGAAATTAAAGAAATATATGCCCTTTTGAACCTTTGAATATATAAATTGAAATCTTATTACATATGTATAGGTTATATGGCTCAACTAAAGGTTTTTTCTTAACTTTCTAAAAACGATTGAAGAGCTCAACGTTCAAAGTTTGCTGAATAATGCCGGAAACATGACTTAAATAAATATTGAAATAAGTTAAGTAGCCCGCTGCATTTTGGCACGATTTATTGTCGATTCGCGTTGCCTTTATATTTATTTGTATGCAGCATATGAGAAAACAGGTTTCCGGCTTGTGTGCACAATTCTCAGCCAATGATGTCTTATCAATTAATTGCGATGCTCCCAGTTTGATTTCAAAGCACTAAACACTGCTGCTTCCAGCGGTCTACTCAGTTGTCGCTTAGACGTTGGCACGGATAGCTCGAATTCCGGCTTATAGACTGAAATTACGTAAAATCAGAATAAAAGAAAAACGATGTCAAGAACGTTGTTTCTGCTTTGCGTACAATTGTGGCTCGTGCCAACCTTTGTGCAGGGAGATGGCATGATAGAGGTCTTTAAATGGAAGCAAATGGATTTCTACAATCGTGGCGATGGTCAACACAGCCGACGCCCGGATCCGTCAGGTAAATCAGCATACAATACATGTATCTTTATCAGCATAAGCTGTAAGTTCAACAGTTCAGAGTTTCTATAGAAACGGCTATTTTATTTTATTTACAAAATTTATTTAAATAAACTGATGAGCACATTGAATGTTGTATTGATGTTAATTTTGAGGTGTTTTCCCCACCAGCGCCAGTCGTGTTCCCAGGTCGTTATGGGCGGGAGAGATCTGTGCGAGCAAAACGTGAGGTGTTCACCTCGCGTGATGTACCCGAGAGGTTTAGCGCGCGCAGCGATTTCAATAATGGCGATGCCGCTCCATACATACCCTATAACAATGTGCCAATGGGCGTGACACACTTTCGAGGACGCCTATTTCTCACCATGCCCAGGCGACGTGTGGGCATTCCGTCGACCTTGAATTTTATAGACATGCGTCGTGATAGCAAACAGAGCAGTCCCAAGCTCTATGCGTATCCCAACTTCGAATTGAATCAGTTTAATAAGAGTGCGCAGAATTTGGTCTCCGTTTACCGGACCACGGTGGATGCTTGCCAGAGATTATGGTTCATTGACACTGGCATGCTGGAGTATCCAAGTGAGACTAGGCCAAATTTAAATCTAACAAACGTATATTTAATTGTGCTCTTTGCGCTAACCAGATAATCGGCAGCAAATCAGACGGCCCAGCATTTGGATAGTGGATCTTAAAACTGATCGCCTAATCAAACGCTTTGATATACCGGAAAGCATTGTGGAGACGGGTCGTGGTCTGGCCAGTCTGACCATTGATATGGAAACGGCTGAGGAGTGTGGTCAGGCTTATGCCTATATTCCAGATCTGGTCAATAGCCGTCTGTATGTGTATAACCTGGCGACAGATCGCATATGGTCCTTTGCGCACAACTACTTTAACTTTGATCCTGTGGCCGGCGATTTGAATATAGGCGGCCAGTCCTTCCGCTGGGATGATGGCATCTTTTCCACTACATTGGGTGCACAGCAGCCGGATGGCAGTCGTGATGTCTACTTCCATGCGATGGCCAGCAAAAATGAGTTTGTTGTCTCGAATCGTGTGCTGCAGCTGGAGTCAAATGCGGCGCGTTCCGATCATGGCAACGATTTCCGTTTGCTGGGCAGCCGTGGCCCAAAAAAGCAATCCACAATGCATGATTACGATCCGAAGACCGGTGTTATTTTCTATGCTGAAATACAAATGAATGGTGTGGGCTGTTGGAACACAAACAAGCCGTTCTCAGAGGCAAACCATGGTATCGTGACATCAAACGAAAAAACTATGATCTATCCCAGCGATTTAACGGTCAGAATACCTATCGTAATTTAAATATCTATAATTAAATACAAATTAAATGTATTATGCTTGCAGATCGATGAGGATGGCAATATTTGGGTGATGACCAATTCGATGCCAATCTTCATTTACTCCACATTGGATAGCAACGTATATAATTTTCGCATCTGGAAGCAGAATGTTAATGAGGCTAAACGCAATACGGTCTGCGAGTAGGTTTTATGCATATGGAATTGCTTTAATGAACTTTTTGCAATAAAGTTACATAATAATATATTATACTTGTATGTTGTAATAATGTAATAATTGTATACTGACAAAATATTAACACAAAAATTATATGGACATATATGTCTAAAACAAATTAAAAAGCATTTACAAATATATCTTTTTAAAAATTGCCTAAATTTGAGTACTCAGTTTATCACATCTTAAAGTTACATAGATGTTTTTTTCATTTTGCCATTAAAAACCTAATCGAATAAAAAATACATATTAAAAAATATCAAACAAAATCAGAGGCACTCTAATATTGCATAAGGATACTAAGTTGCACAGTTTTGTATAATACGCGTGTGTATATGGTATGTGTATATTCAATTCAATTTACGAATATAAAATGTTTGAAAAATATTCGAATTAGCATAAATACTTGTGATTGTTTACATTTTGTTTTTAGTTTTTTTTTAGTTTTTTTGTTGTAAATTTTTATAATTTTGTTTCTATAATATTCAAACAAATATGAAGTGTATATTCTCAATGTGACCGATTTATATAGTTTTCTATATAAACTACTTATATAAAATTTGCAAAAATATATGTATATGCATTTCCGTTCATGCTCGCTTGTATATATATTTTAGTATAATGTTACTCTACATATAAAAGATGACTATATAGCATTTCGTTCGTTTAAGTAAACATGCATTTTTATGTGGAAAATGGAATGGTTATCTGGCCCAGTGTTATACAAAAATATACACGTATAACATAGTATAACAGTTTCGAGTTTCTACATAGCTATATATCTCCCTATATATATATATGTACTTATTTAAAACCGACCACTTTTGAAGTGAGGCTGTAGCCGACATTTTACTGTACTAGATAATCCTTGTAGCCGCGCAACGATTTCAGTTGCTTCTTCAATTTGGTTATCAAATCCGACGGTTGCACCAATATCGATATATCCCTGCCCACCGAATTCAGGCGATCGCGTATTTCTAAATCCTTGAAGAACAGATTTAACGGTCGACCGTTAATTTCCGTGAGTATCCAAAAGGTCAGCGTGCTGCCATCGCATGACTGAGCCTGTACAAAATAAATTAATAGAATTATTGCTAAGAAATGATTGAAAGCTTGTGTGCTAGTCACCTTGGGCGGTAATCCATGCCTGGCTGCCAAGCTGTTGGGCACCACATCCACTATGGTCGAGGTATTGCCATCACGTATCAGTCCCAAGCACTGACTGTCGCGATCTCGGCGTATGGCATAGGCACGACCAAAAGGTATGCGACGCAGCAGCACTTCGACCTGCAAATAAAAAGTTCGAACGGAATAATGACTTATAGAAAACGGTTGCATTAGTCTTGTTTAGAATTTATAAATTTCTTTTTGGATATGATTAAACGATTTAAAACGCCTTATTAATTGTCGGTCATAACGACAGAGGCTTCATAAATAAAAAAAAAAAAAAAAAACGCACGCCCCCTTCTAGAATATATGTAAAAGTGTCAAGAATAACGTGAACAGGCTAAGTAAGCGCTACAATAAATACATGTATTTTAAGGTTGGGCGTGTTCGCGGTTTAACAACTGCTAGCTGGTGTATAGATTCGCACTATAATACTCACAAATAACGTGTTGGTATTGCGTATTATTTTATTGGCCTCGGCGGCGCTGCTAATGCTAACTCCCGCAATGGAGAGCAGCTGGTCACCAATGTGCAGGGCATTGTAGAGCACCGGATGTTCCTTTTGCTTCCAGCCGGCAATCCTGAAAATGATTCGAAATGAAATTTATAGTTTTATTTTCATTTTGGGGCCATGAGAGCTACATACCAGACGCCCCCGAAGGCATCCACCCAGGCAATGGAGCCAACGCAGTCCTTGCGTCGCAGATTCAGACGGACACCACCCGGATGCATGATCTCTCGGCGCAGCTGCATGACCTGCTGTTCGCGTAGCGTCAATCGCTTATTGCTGCTGTTTGACTGTGCTGTGGCCTGTGGCGGAGATTGCATGCGAAAGGCAGCCGTTCCTGCTGCACTGCGTCCAGGCACAAACTCATTGTTGTTAGCGCCACGCTGACTGCTTGACTGCGTGGGTTGGGCGACTGAGGCGCCACGTTGTAGCGGCGCCTGCGCATCAGATGTGGAGGAGCTGCGCCTGCGCTGCTCGATGCTGTCCGTGTTGGTGCTGGCGGCAACATGGCTAGTTGGATCCCTTGTCCCATTGCTGGTGCCGGACGTACAGTGAGCAGCAACCTGCTCAATATTATTGTTGGCATTGGTGCTGGAGGCCTTTGCAGTTGTTTTCGTTTTGAGCGGCGTATTGAGTAGCTTTAGG